CATTAATGAAGTATGTATGACGCTGCGCTGTCAGTACACTTGTCCCTGTTTGTGATTGGTGAAATGTAGCTAACCCCGCCCCTTTCACGTAAACGCGCTCTCAGCTGGAGAGAGAAACCCTGGCTTGATTTACCGAGTTGATAACCAGCGTCGTAGGACCGTTTAGCGAGATCTCGTTTGTTAGGGTTAGTTAAGATAACTCAAACATATCCAGGGTCTTTTGAACTGGCTTCGTAGAACAGGGCACAGGTGCTCATGTCAAAGACACAAACATTATACATTATATTTTTATTTTACCAGGATGCATTGACAAAAATATTTGGGAAGGCTTAGCCTTCCCGAGCCTACAGTACCCACCGCCCCTGCCCCCACCCCTTCCCTCGAAAAAAAAAAAGAGTTAATTAATTCATCTAATTCCACCCCATGGGAACTTATTTCTGAAAAATTATGTATTGAAGTCATTGGAGAGAGAAAACGTATCTTTCGATCCAGTTTGAATTGTGCCATGAATTACACATATGATGTTTTTCAATCTTAAAAAATCATTTCCATGACAAAAAAGTCAGTTTGTCTTAAAACTGTTGAAATATAAGACTATGAAAAATACGCAACTAGAAAGACTACAAATCCCAGAGTGTACATTAACGTTACACATTACGTGTTACTCACCGAAACCTTGTAAAGCCGGTCCCGCATGCTGGCTCTCACGGAACTGACTAACTCCCCTTTTGTGTATGTACAGCCCTCAACATGGCCAGACTTGCAGTGATTTTCACCTCTTTTAATACTTTTCACTTAATTCTGAAAGAAAGGTTGGTGACGTATGCAAGACCAGAGTTATAGTTCATTGAGCGCTTCACACAAACATTTTTGTTACTTCACAGTTTTACGACACATTTTTATTTTTTGACTTTTAAATTGACAAACATCATATGTGTGATTCGTGGCACAATTCAAACGGGATCGAAAGATAATGGCCACATGGCTTCACTTTACAACGTTGGAACGACCTTATCAGAGAATCCATTGGTAAACAGGGAATGCCAACAGACATGTTAGTCAGGAGGTCTAATAGTATGCACAGGGATATTCTTGCATCTGTCTATTACGTTGTCCTCATCCAATAATATAGTATTTGCTTGTGTATCGGCCAAAGAACCACTGTGTGTCTTTAAAGTCCGGATGCTTGTAAAACCATGTTGCAGTATCAAGTATTTTCACAGTGCTAAATCTGATAGGAAAGTATAAATTGTAGGCCTGTTAACATTAACGTGTTAACGCTTGCTATTCATCTTGAATCCTTAATGTGTTAAAGAAAAAATGAACGAAAATAATCACATGACCAAGTTTGATCCCAACTTCCTCCCATAATTCCTGGGCAGATTTTAACCATAAATTGCATGGCAGCGAAAGGCAAATAGAGTAGAGGGACTGACACAAGCTACATGTGCTGCACTGACTGGCCCTCCTCAAAATACAAGTAAATACTGGTATTTTTAACTTAAACGCAATTAAAACAATTATATATATGGCAAGCATCTGCGTGTTTTGTGTGATGGGGTTGATCCAACCTCGTAAAACAAAGCCATGTGGTTCCTTGACAAATACAAAGAAAAGTTGTTCTCATACATTTAATGTGAGTTCTTCTCTTTTTATGACTTTAAAGTTTATAGCTTCAAAGAAAGTCATTTGTTTTTTTATAATAAATGTGAATCTTTAATGTCCAAAATATATTTTTCTCATCCCCTTGCCTTAATTGTTCTGTATGAAAGTTAATCCAATATTTAGTATCCTTTTATCTCTTTCGCACACACAGTCTGTCTTAATGTTCTTGTGTGTGTTTGTTTTTGTGCATGTGCGTGTATGTGTGTGCTGTTTGCATCGCACCCCCCTGTGCTGAAAAGAAATACAGTATTCTTGTACTTAAGTACCGTACTTGAGTACATGTACTTTGTTACTATCCAACACTGGTATTTGGGTTGTACTGGTGTATACAGTATGAGTGATTGTTCCTGTGTGTATCTCAGGACACATTAACAAAACATCATGTTAGTGTTCAGCACACAGGATCATCACATCCTTATTTCATGTAAACACAGGTTTACCTGAGGCAGCTGGTGTGTGTTTGCGTGACATGAACATAGTGTACACAGTGTGTGAGGTAGTATGAGGAAACCTCCGCTCTGAATAATGCTGCAGTGATCTCACAGGGACAGTCCCTGCAGGATAAAGGTCTCTGCCGGGGAAACAGTGGAACAGTGGTGTGATAATGTCCGTTAATCATTCATTTCCATGCAAAACATTAAAGAATGTGTTTTGGTGATTCAGGTTTAAATATACTATATAATAAATATAAAACATATTGTATATTATATTCCATTTAAAAATATATTTCAGTGTACAAAAAGGCAGACAATTAATATTAACACTACACATTATGCTATGTTAAAACTTGATATAATGATATGGATCAGAGCAGTTCTCTAATACAGTATTCTCTTTCATATCGAAAAATGAAGAAAGGGGTATATTTAAACAATTTTCTAAACGTATGTATGGCCTTATAATTGGTTCTTACTTGCCTATAATACCACAATATTCCTTTTTTTTTAAAATAAAAATATATAAGGATCTCAAATGTAATCCAACAGCAATCCAGTGTCTCTGTGTTGTTTTGATATCTCTCCGGTCATTTGCAAGTTAAATATTAGATATTGACCTTCAACTCTCCCCTCATCTGTGTGCCCACACTATTTCTAACTCACGTCTTTATGACATCATCTTACACCATCACTGCACTACAAAGCCCTAATTCGTTTCAGTAAAAAAAAATGCACTGTTGCATAGGGAGTCACATTTTCATTGACACACATCTTCTGTAAGGCAGTGTCTTTATCCAACAGTTCTGTCCAGTCTCATGACAGTATCCATAGCAACAATCGTACATTCAAGGTAATCCCATTCCATCCTTATTTTTACCAATGCCTATTCTACTTTTCCGCTCAAAATCTTCAAGCACTGAACTTATGGTGTGCTGTTGAAATGAAATGAATGATTGACATAGAGAATAAGTGAGTGAATGGAAATGAGGAAAAGAGAGTGATTATAATATCATGAAGTGAAGTAGAGAGAGAGCACGGTCACAATAACGTGTGTTTCAGAGCTCTAAAATCGCATTTCAAATTATTAGCTCTTGCGTATGTCGGTGAAAGTATGTGATGTTTTTGCGGACCCTCAGCTGTAGGGGGAGGGCCCACAATCCAAACATCCCTGGAACAAACAGAGGTATAACATTTCCATTTCAAATTTGAAAGGGAAATTGTTTTGTGATGAGGGAGTTCATTTACCTAAAGACAATGTGACTGACCATGAAGTTGTAATTCCGCAGCTTAAGCGCTCTTGTTCTGGGCTTGGGTTTGGGACTTGTCCGTATTTTTGTTGTACAACTTTAACCGTTTTACAGTGGGTTTTGACTTCATGGAAGTTAATTGTAACATTTTGGTCGTCTCAAATTGTCTTCAGCAGCGTTCAGTTGCACTTTGCTCCACCGTCCACAAAAAGACCCAGAGGGTGATGATTGAAATGTTAAATGAAATTCTGTAGTTCACCAAACAATGGGTGGCTGAACAGTGTCTATATCTATATGAAGATGCTGGCCGAATAGTTTGTTGGCTGATATCCTGGTTGTTGTAATGAACATGCGTGTCCTCTTGTTTTATTCACCTTTTTGAGCTGCCTTCACGTCTACAGACTATGAATACACTTCAGACTGTAAGAAGACTGTAACAGTTATTTGGATTTGGTGTTGGGGCCCTCCATCCTCCTATCAGAACCTTGATGCATGAGCTCAGCTCCTGAGTGTTGTACAGTGTGAAGGACTCAGTGAGGACAGGGGACTGTGAGGTCACTACGAGGCTCACTTTGTGTCTGCACTCTCTTCTCTGAAATCTTGATGTGCACATTGGTGTGCAGGGTTTGGGGTCATCTGTTGTGGAAACAGTGGAGAAGATGTGGCAAGTCTGAGTCAGCTTCAGAACACTGCTGGGTTTTAGACCAGCTGTGTCAAAAACCCAACAAAACAAATCACAAAGATATATAACATTGCTGACCGCCAAAAGTTACATCTTGGCCTTTATCACATTTTCCTGAAAATATACTTTACATTTGAAATTGTATAACATTCATTATTTAAAACACATTTTAAACATTTCCTTCTCACTTTTTGGTGTATCCTAATTTCTGAAAATGTTCTTTAAACAGAGTAGATGAAGTACTTTAGTACAACAATAGTACTCATGCCAGGGAAATGGCTCATTTCCTGCTTCATGCTGTGAACTATTCCATTTGAAAAGGAGCAGGCCTCCACCAGGATAAAGTCAGAAGAAAGGAGGAAGAAAGAAAAGATGTGGATGTATGAGAGGCCCTGGGACCCGGGCTGATTCCAATATGTCAGCCATACCAAAACAAAAGTCTAGTTACCTGTGTGGTTCATTATTACCTAAAACAGTAGTTATATAAGAAGTCCATTTCTCTAGAGTTCTTTAAAGTCAATTGGTGAACAACATGACAAAATGTCCCCGCTGCTAACATGTTTCCATTGCAACGATGTTAGAAGACTGGGGAAAACCCTTATGGTGTATTAAGCCCCAGAAGCAAAGCGGTGATTATGGGGGTGCCTTTCATACAAACAGCTTTCACCATTTTAAAAGTTGGAATAACTTCAGTTACTAACCCTATCCTAACCAGTTATCTTCATTAGTTTATTTGAATGATGATTATGAGGCTAAATAGCATTTTTATATCCACTGGCTCATTCGCCGACGCAAGTTCGCTGACCTTTATGTATCCCTTTAGAGCTAGCTCAGGAGCTAGCTACCTTTGAGCAGATTTTTAATTGGTGGATCATTTTTGAAAAATGTGTGTACTCAACCCAAAACACCTAAGGCAGCTGAAAAAAATAGACTACCTGCTTGTTTGTTTCATTATGACAAGAGAAGGGACTGATGAGTGTCTCTGTGTCCCCTGTCTCAGCCTCAGAGATGGCGGGTTGGGGGCAGCAGGGCGAGATGACAGAGTACAAGAAGATTCTGATAAAGCGGGACCTGGAGATGGGCGTGGTGATGACGGTGTTCCGGCAGAAGGCGGAGCGGCTCACTGTGCAGGTCATCATGGAGACCCGGCAGGTGGCCTGGACGCGCACCGCGGATAGAACTGACGGTGTCTGTGAGTACACTAACAATGACACATATTAACATCTTCTTAGTTTATAAAGTAATTTTCAGACCACCTTTAAAGCCCCTCTTAGTATTCATGTGTCTGCAGCAGTGAGTAAGTACATTTACTCAAGTACTGTAGCCTACTTAAGTAAAGTACAAGTTCCCCAAAATAGTACCTAAGTATTTTTATTTGATTACATTACATCTCACTTGTTTGACGCTTTTATCCAAAGAGACTTACATACTCAATACTGTGGACAATCCCCACAGGAGCACTTTGGGGTGAAGTGTCTCAGGGACACAACGACAGGCTGACTGCAGTGGGGTTTGATGCTACTTTATACTTCATCTCCACTACTATTTGGAAGCCAACATTGTACTTTTTATTCCATTAAATGTATTTGAAAATGGTTAGTTACTTTACAGATTTAAGTTAATATTAGCTTAAACTAAATATAAATAAATCAATGATATATAATTAAAGGTCATTTAAAGTATTAGTGCTTTAATGCATAGAACAAAAATAATCCAGTCATTTAATATGATTCTGAAATTACGCACAATAGGTACTTTAAGTTCTTTGTGCCCGTGTATGACTGTATGCATCCTCTGGTTGATGCAGTGAGTCGAAAGTTTAATATAAAACTGTTTCAATGACTGTTTCATGCCGACAGCGATGTTTTAAAAGAGGGGGCGCCAGTATTTTTCCTATAATGAACACTCACAGGGACATAAACATTCATGCTACTTCACATACCCAACATTTGACCTTTTCCACTCATTAAAGTTTACTCCAATCAGAACAATCTTCCCTTTCATGGTATTGTGGCACAAGCCTTAGAGGCAGTTATAAACAGAGATGCAAACAGAAGCTAGCTGCACTAACTGGATTCAGGAGAACCAACCTTTGTGCACTGAGTGATCATCAGCTCAAATCCCTGGAGCAAAGTAGCAGTGATAAGTGACAAGGAATTATAATAGTCGATAGCAAAGTTGAATTATCCACAAAGCAGTATGTATACACCGTTTTGTGTCATCTGCTATGATATTAGTTATTATAAAGGTGAAGCGAAACTCCCTTTGGAGGGAAAGTCTTTATAAAACACGAGGAAAAAGAAGCCCCAAAAAGGAGAATAAAGCCCCATAGAGGCCAGGTTTCGACTCACCCCCCTTATATTTCAAGCCACCATTCAAATAACAATACAGTTATCTGAGTATATCAGTTATCCATACCATAATGACATCCAGATATAAAGGAGTTATCAGAATGAGTTCTGAAAAGGTTGTTTAAGCATGAGTTCCCATAAAAACAATGATATATTGTTTATTGCCTTTCTGTGAAGATATGAACCACAGGAAATGCTCACCTACAGTATAGAAACTGACTCGTCTCAGAGGAAATGTATTTGTTATGACCTGGCTCAAAGGGCCACAACAAAAAGAGGAGATACACCATATCAACGGTTTAACAAAATATGTTTATTAAAGCAAGTAGTCCAAATTAGCCAAATGAATTAAGTGCAAAACAAATGAAGCATGAGGTGTGGATGTCAGTGGTATCAGTAGTGTACGTGCAGGGTGAGGATTGCATGGACATGTATGAGTGTGAGTGTGAGAGTGTTGAAGTGCACAAAGTGAAGTAACTGAACATACTCAACCAAAACCAGGTGCCTGTAGGAAAAAACAGAGAGGAGCAGATGCTTTAAATAACTGCAGGGCACCAGACCCAGCTGCCCTGAGTTAGTGCAATCAAGGAGGCTGGATGCAGCACATACCCTCTCCAGATGAACCCACAGGGGCATCACATATTTGATTAAGTTCCATCATGACAACAGCCTTATTTGCTAAGACTTTGTAATGGAGCCATGAAGATACATTATGGAGGTTTGTTTTAATAATAATTCACTTCCCAGTATTAGGCTACTGCGTCAAAGTGTGAAAATAACCCTGCCCTAAAGAACGCTGACTATAGGAGGGACAGTGTGTGAGCTGGAAATGTGTGAAGCTGAAAAAGATCTGCCACGTGTGTTTGGTGATGCAGATGAATAATTACATTGAGTCTTCCTCTGATGATCGACATCTGTGTGTGTGTGTGTGTGCGCCGATGCTTTGTTTCAGTGGACCTGTTTGAGATCAGAGAGGTTCGTCCAGGGAGGAACTCCAAGGACTTTGAGCGCTTCAAAGATGGCAAAGACAAGCACGATGAGGGCAGCTGCTTCACCATCTTCTACGGATCTCAGTTTGTCCTCAACACCCTCAGTGTGGGAGGTGAGCTGCTCTTATATGTGTGCTTTAAACAAAAACTATCACATGATGAGTATCATTCTTCATATTTCATATTGTAGCTACCTGATTTATTTGTTGTCAAAGTCATTGTTAGATTTATGTTGGATGTTATAAAACACCATTATTTAAACAAATCTCCATTATCTCCAAATACTTGACACCTGACATTTCACTGCAAATTCTAAACTACAAGACTGCAGTTACTAGCTAACATCTGGCCATCTGGCAACCCCCTTTCTAGTGTCACAAGCTAGGCTAAACATTAGCATGCTAACTTAGCTACCTATGCGGTCAATTACTGGTCTATTCATCCGTCAACTGCCAGTCTTTTATTATCAGAAAAGTAAACAAAAGACAAAGAACCATATAAAGACAGGCAGACAGAGGCAATGGGGCTTATTCCATTAAAGTGATCTACTTGGACAGTATGTATCCTCAATATATCCTATATGTATCAAATTAATGGATTAATTAATTAAGGATCTTGGCAGTTTAGCAACCATTTCTGTAGCTGATGTTAGGCAGCCCACACCTGTCAGCAGTTAAAGGAACTTTTCTTGACATGAAAAGAGTTTGCACATCTATGGAGCATCTGTTGCCCAGGCTCACAGATTCAGTCAAGCTTAGGTTATAATTGCAGTATCAAATCTGGCAATCTCATTGCAAAGATGTTGTTAGTAAATGGAAAAGTTCCAGCTCCATTTAGTGAACCCTTTTTACAGAGGAAGCATTTTTGACCAGAGAAAGCAATTGTTCAGTGTTCATGCTAAGCTAGTCCTTACTCCATCTCTGTAATGTCCACATCTTGTGTTTAGTTCACCTTTTGTTCCAGGAAGTCAAGTGTTGAAATGTCAAACAACTTTCCTCTTGTTGATTCATCTGAAAGTATTTTTTACTCATAAAGCCGATGCTCTTCTCCTCATATCACCTCACAGTGTGATATATCTGTTTAGCACAGTTACACTTTCTGTTCTGCTCATTTTGCAGCTGACTCTGTTGACGAGGCTCAGAAATGGCTGACTGGACTAGAACTGCTGAGGCAGGAGACGCTGCAAGCTCCCACTCCAGTTCTTATAGAGAGGTAAACACACACACACACGCACACGCACACGCACACACACAGACAGACAGACAGACAGACAGACAGACACACAGACACACAGACACACACACACACACACGCACACGCACACAAACGTCTGCTTTTTTTTGTTACCAGATGTCGATCATCAGAGGAAGACTAAATGTCCTCATTCATCTGCATCACAAAACCCATGTGACATGTTAACTATATGTGAAAAACATGCACATTGTCAATGTCAACTGGTGCTTTTGATATGTGACTCATCAACACTTTTATGAACCCCTCCACATTCACAAAGTGATGAAGACTCATCCAGTCATTGATCTCTTTTTGTTTTTCCCTGCAGTTGGCTGAGGAAGCAGATGTACTCTGTCAATCAGACCAAAACCAACAGGTAATGTATGTGTGATCTGGTTACCCTGCCACAATAGCTCTGAGAACGTTTTCCAAATTAAACAAATGTAAACATGTGACACAACCTGTAGGAACTTCTTGCATTGTACAGCTGCTGAAAAAGAACAATCCTTCCTTAGTCCTCCTAACCTTTACACACAATAACACGTATTGAATAAATGTTGGATCATATTTATGTGTTTTGCTTCTTTTCCTCCCCAGCATCTCCATGAAGGAGCTGAAGGCTCTGCTATCTCTACTCAACTACAAGGCCCCCAGCTCTCGCACTCTCAAAGACAAATTCCAGGTGCTCTGATCTTCTCCTCCTCATCATCATGTCCTCATCAGTGTTGTGTGTGATTATATAAACACCATTGAACCTTCAGTACATGGACAGCATACACATGGACAACCGAAAGACAATCTCCTCTTCAGGGAGAATAGCATTGTTACATTCTGATCAGAGATTATCAATGACTAGTTTGACATTATGTGATATGGAATTTCATAAATATTCCAGCTTCTGTAGTCTCAATCAGTGCTTTGTGTTCGGCTTTCAAAGGAAGTGGGGGCAAAGAAAGATCGCCTGGACTTTGAGCAGTTTCATAAATTGTACAACCTTATAATGTTTGAACAGAATGAGGTAAGTCTGAATCAATAACAATGAAGTAAATATACTGTATATATTATTCAAAATACATGTTTACATGATTTTCATTCATATTATATTTTAAACTCAGATCCTTGATGAGTTCAAAAAGGAATCATGTGCTTTTATTCTGGGGTGAGCTCCTGTTCTCTTATCCTTGCTACATATTGAACAAACCCTGATGTAAAGTGAAGCTTTAGGAGAGAGTGAGTCAGGGAGCTGACGGGGGTCTGCTCTCTACAGAAACACAGATAAGCCTGATGCCTCTGCAGTGCTGCTCCATGACTTCCAACGATTCCTCATCTACCAGCAGAAGGTGAGCAGAGTGTTCCAACATGGCAAGAGCTTTCTTCCCGCAAATGAACTACCAATAAAAGAACATTTCGATTAAAGAAAATAAGTTGACATTTTTTACATCAGCTAGTCCTGTAGGAATTCAGTGTATAAAAAGGTAATGTGGTGCAGCCATATTCACGTTTATAGCATAACATTTCTTTCTCTTGCCAGTTTTAATATGAACAGATGCACCAAGTATGTTTACATGGAGAGGGTTTAACACTTTGTTTGGTTACAAAGAATTTAATTCAAAAGTCACAACCAGTAATGTAGAAGTAAACCAATGCTTTTCTAAACATTTATTGATAATCATGATTATTTATTTTTTCTCACAGATTTTCCATCCATTGTTTTGATTTGTTTTCTTTCTGTGCCCCTTCCCCCACAGGAATCCTGGGCCAGTGACCTTAACCAGGTCAGAGAGCTGATGACCACCTTCATCGACGACACCATGAGGAAAACCAACGACCCAGAGTTCACCGTCAGTGAGGTAATCCTCTCTGTGCCGTCATGTTGTGTGTAGCAGAGATAGAAATGAAAAGCTGTACCAGACTGTGATCGATGTGTACAAGAGCCTTATAACTTGGTCGTTATTGTTGAAGTTATAATAACTAGAATGAATCACAAAAAACACGAGTTAATTTGAAGCGTTTCTCCTCCTGTAGTTCCTGAGTTTCCTGTTCTCCAAAGAGAACTCTGTGTGGGACGAAAAGTACTCAGAGATCAGCAACCTGGACATGAACAACCCTCTGTCTCACTACTGGATCAGCTCCTCTCACAACACGTCAGTGTGGTGGCTGGAAATCACACCCAATAATTCAATGTTTTTCCTGTTTACGGTTCATGCCAGTGACATATCTTTTCATTTTTTCCCACACTAAAAAAGTGCATCAAAAAATTCCGTTATCAGCATTTCACCTTCAAAATTGATATATTGGAAGTTAGATAAGGTGTGTTTGTTCATGACCTGGCAACCCAAAGTTTAAATTACTTGTTTATAACTGTTGTTTCTAGCAAAGTCAATAGTTTGCTAACATAAAATAAAGTTATTAGTTACATATTATTAAATGTTTTCCTAGAAAGAGTTTCCAGATATCTTGCTTATTCACAGACAAGCAAACCCAGACACCCAGACACCCTCCACAGCAGAGTAACAAACAAAACATGAGGTTTTTGAACAACATTTTGGTGTGTTTTCCACAGCTACCTGACGGGGGATCAGCTGCGCAGCGAGTCGTCCACGGAGGCTTATGTTCGCTGTCTGCGCCTGGGCTGCCGCTGTGTGGAACGTCAGTAAACTCACCATCATGTAGAGAAGTTCACATTTGAGAGTTGCATTGTCAGCATTAGTTTCATTTTGGAGCAGCTTTAATGAAACAAGTGGGGTAAAATAATAACAGTAAATACTTTATGTCTTTGTGCTTTGTGTGGTACTGAATTGGTCCAGTGGACTGCTGGGAAGGGCCCGGGGAGCCAATCATCTACCACGGATGGACCAGGACCACCAAGATCAAGTTCGAGGACGTGGTCAAAGCCATCAACGATCACGCTTTTGTCACGTCAGAGTAAGAAGCACAAGACACTGTCACCATGTCTGGGAATTTGTGATTCTCTTCATCTTTCACACACATACCCACACCCACACACACACACCAACTCCTGATACCTGTGCTTCTGGGGCTCAGGTTCCCGGTGATCCTGTCCATCGAGGAGCACTGTCCTCTGGAGCAGCAGCGGCAGATGGCCCGGATCTTCAGAGACGTGTTCGGAGACAAACTGCTGACGGAGCCTGTGGAGCAGCTGGCTGAGCAGCTGCCCTCGCCCACACAGCTGAAGGGCAAGGTCATACTCAAGGTCAGAGGAGGAGAAGTACTCAGATCTTGTACTTGAGTAAAAGTAGCAGTACCAGAGTGTAGGAATACTCTGTTACAGTAAAAGTCCTGCATTCAAAATGTTGCTCAAATAAAAGTAGAAAAGTATTTTTTTTTTTAAATATAGTGAAAGTAGCGACAGTAAAAGTAGTCATTGTGCAGATTGGTCCATTTCAGAATAATAGATATGATATGTTTTATAATGATTGATCATGAAAGTGTTCTCAAAGCTGGTAAAGGTGCAGCTAGTTTGAATGACTTTGTATACTGCAGGGTAGCTTGTATACTGCATTGTGGATTTACTCCAGGTGGAACTAAAGTCTGATTTAACACTTGATTATATTTCTCATCATTAATCCAGATCTGTGAAGTAACTAAAGGGATTAAATACATGTAGTGGAGGAAAAGTACACCATGTACCTCTGGATTGTAGTGGGGTAAAAGTACACAGTAGCAACACATTTAAATACTCAGGTAAAGTTCAAATCCCTGAAAATGTTACTTGAGTAAATGTACTTTAAGTAAGTGACTTTACAGCACTGCTCAAGGTACTGGGGAGTAATGGGCTACGTAACAGAATGATCGGGATAAAAGTTTTGAATCAGTATTCCCTTACAATTACATCAAAAAGAAGATGTCATTAGATTGCTGTCACATGTCGTTGCTGCTATATTGTATTACCATGTCATAAATACTTGTGTATGCTGCTCTTGCTCTTTACAATATTTAAATTGTATTTCCTTCTTATTTTTCTCAAGGGAGCCAGAGCAGAGGGCTTGAAGACCCCTGTCATAGGGAGACGTACTGCTTGATTATTCTTTCTGGTTTTTATTTAGGCTACTTTTAAGCTTCTTTATTTTATATATCTTTTTTAATGTAGTTGGTGTACACCTGATTTATCAAAAAATGATGTTTAATTCATGTTTTTAACTATGGATCATTCTGATCCTAAATATCTTGGTTACAGGGTCACAACGTTCTTACATAACACACTGTAAGAGTCGGGAGGAGCTGATCATTTATTCCGGCAAATTACTCAGACCTACTAATTGACCTAACCGAAGTTATTGAGTCTATGTAAGTTTACTGCT